ACACTATAAGACTAGTTTAATTAATTAAAATCATTGTTGACTTGTACTCTGCATGTATGACTGAAGTGTAGTTCTTATTTTATTGTCATTAAATTTTTTCATGATTTAATCTCATTTCTGTTTATAAGTCATAGCACCTGCGTCTGCATTAATGACTCTCGCAATAATTTTAATCAAAATTCATAATAATCAATGATAAAAAGACAACTTTGTGTAATAAACAAAAATGCTAAAGTTATAAACAATAATGTTAAGTAATTCTTTATAGTCTTCAGTTAATGTACAGCTTCAAACAGCAAACAATTAACCTATAGCAATGACAACATATTTAACAATACTATACTTAGAATACTTCTCAATGTAGTCTTCAATAGCAGAGAATTGTACTTATCCTCTTAGTGTCATTAACCTAACAATGGAATGTAATTCATCATACATAGGCTGCGTTTACACGGCAACGAAAACGATGCAATCCGTTCAGTTTTGTGCCTGTTTTATGCTTCTGTTTACACAGAAACGAATGAAAACGTGATAGAATCTTGATAGGACTCTATGGAAACGAAAACGGTGTTCAAAGTGTATCATTTTAAAAATGATACGCTTTGCATTGCTGTGTAAACGCAGCCATAGTTACTGTTAGTATCTATTCTTTTTGTATGTAGTGCTCTTAGCATCACTAGCAGTAGTAGCCACTAGTGATCCCAGGCAGTGTCACGTGGAGGTAGCACTACATTGCTGCCCACACTAGAACAGAGAACAATATAATTATATTGACACATACCTAATGTACTTGAACCTTTAACAGGAACTTGCTATAACCTTAGGGGCACAATTATAATGAATAATAACAGCTAGTACATGTACATGTACATAATGTAATAATAACAGTACAGTACATGTACATGCTACATGCATGTATTAGGCATTTAGTTGACTGTGTATGATTGAGTTACATGTACATGTGTCACTTCAACTTAGAGTTCTTGCTAATTTGCTTAGATTAGCACACACAATTAAAAGTGACCTTATGTTCATGTACATGTACATGTTCATGATGTAGTAGTATATGTAATATTGTACATACACCAATAATGTACTATTTAAAGCTGAAGCATTATTAATGTACATGTAAGCATAACAAATGTACATGTATATATTACTTGATTGCCAAAACTACAGCC